CAATTAATAAAAACTGCTTATTTATTGCCATTAAGGCGGAACAAAGTTCGCCGGGTCAGCTAGTATATCATAAAAAGTACCTCGAGTCTTAGTGTACAGCGACCAAACTCGCATACTGCAGGAAGGACACACAAATTAGAATTTAATTGTTATTTGATTCTAGTTAGTAGAGGTAGGTTAATAAACTCACTGATCGCTGAACCAAAGCACGACGACATGAAATGATCTTTTAAATTAAACTCATCTTTCAACTGTACTTTATCACTACATCGACCTCAAGACTGTGTAAGGACGATTCAACACTTCTCGATATGATTAGATGTGTGACATACGAGTTTGAAAACAATCGACGTTCCAAAATTCGGAATGTCAACATTTATGTTGTCTAAATGTATTCATTGTTACAATTACTAGTATTTACACCTAAACGATTTGCATGTACACTTAAACGAATCACATGAAAATTCGTGAGCGAGTATATCTGGTACGAAGCTGAACTGACATTCGTGATTGACGAAAGCGAATTCAAAGCAATGTGTCTTTTGTTGTTACAGTTTTGGGAGATCATTTCGGACGAACACGGCATCGACCCGGCGGGGCTCTACCACGGGGACAATGACCTGCAGCTGGAGCGCATCGAGGTCTACTACAACGAGGCGGCACGTGAGTCCTGCAACCTGTTTGAGGACGCGGAGCGGCGCGGCGGCGGAAGCGCAGGGCAGGCAAATGAGCCACGGGCAGCGGGGATGGCGGCGGCGACAGTGAGAGAGGGGCTTTACGGGAGCGGTGGCGGTGCGACGCGGAGGGCGACGTGCAGTGTGTATGAAGGGAGAGGCGGGGAAGGATCAGTGGGGTTGGGGGCACGGCAGGGTTTAGGGGAGACGGGATGGGGACGGTGAGCGGCATCTCGCCATGGAAAGTAAGGCATAATTGTACCGAAGGGTTCGGAGGAACACAGTGCTAACCCACATGTCTAATGTTTGTCAACGAGAGAAAAAATCAAAGTTGTAGTTGGAGACGTGTCTTCATTTCTATATAGACTTCTGTCTGCTTTCTAAGTGGTTCCATGAACACTTTTGTTCAACATTTCGATCATATTGTTTATTTTTAAGAGATAATCTAAAACCTGAAATGAAATGAGGGAAGCACTGCCTTCTGCCGACCCCTTCAATTGCGGGCAGTGAGCGGTTGAGGGTGCGTTGAGGGTTGAGGGAGCAGTGAGGATGACTGATAGCGAGGTCCCATGTAATGAGGTCGTTCGTATGGCCTGCGGGCGGGTGGCTAGGAGGTAAATGTGACAAAAAAATAAGAAAGGCAAATGGAAAATAAGAAAGGCGGAGGGCAAAAGCGGTAGCTTGAATAACTGGGATGCCAGGAACGGTGTGCATACAAGGACAATGGGAAGACGGCGGGCATTGCGGGAACAACAGAGGCGGCACAGGCAGCGTGGGGCGACGGGGACTGGGAGCGGCAGCGTGGCATGGGCCTGGAGAGGGCGGGGGAGAGGGTGACCGAGACATGAGGATCTGCCACCAAACGGCACGGAGCGGAGGCGGAGAGGGTGGGTTATGTAGATCGGGGAAAGGGTGGAGGTGGGGGCCGTATGTAAATAATTACTTCATGTTATCTCATGAAATTTACTTTCGAATTCTACATGTAAATTGGGACCGACCTTTCTCTGGTCATTCAAAAATTGGGAACCAAACCAACCCATTTAGTAAAGAAAAGGACTGATTGAGCAAATAGAGTGTCCGAATTCCATGTTCAGCTTTGTAGAATATTAACTGAAAGAAAAGGTAGAATATAAAAATGGCAAAATAAGCAGAATTTCCCTTATAAAATGCGCTCCACATGTATGCAAGCCATATAAAACATTATGCATCTCTTGTGTAATTGACAAAGGAGTAATACAGCCAGCTTTGAAAAGAAATAAATAGTACTACGGTAATCAACAAAATGACGCAATTCAATTCAATCTGAAGAGGAATTGAACTTAATCAAACCATATTTTGAAAGAAACAAGCCTTTCCTAATTTTAGGAAATTGGAAAGTTAGTTGTGTTTTAAAAATAATGGCCATGAAAATGTTCTCCGAAAATAGTGTAACCTTCTCCTTTTTTTCCTGCAAGGGAATGAGTTAGTGTGTTCCCAATTTACATATGCTCAGAAAGGGGGCCGTCCCCAATTTATATATGCCCTTCTCTGAGTCGGTCCCCACGTATGTTCTTTCTGGTCCCCAATTTACATACGCCGAGATGGCGTGAGGGCAGGAAGGAGATTCAAGGAGGTGAAAGAGGTGACTGATGTGGCGGAGACAGGGTGTATAGGTATGGCGATGGCAGACACGGCTGGGTTGACGGGGCAATCAGGTCGCGAGGGACTGTAGAACCGAAAATCCCTTTTATCAATAGTTGATGCAAATGCATCGGCGGGTACAGGATAGTATCACGCACACTATGGATGATGTATAAGCAATTCTTGTGTGAGGCAACCGTCGGACAGTAACGGCTAAAGTTGGCGGAACGAGCCTTTCATCGAACGTCCAAGTCGATGGCCAAGCGAATTAAGAATTATATGAAGCGAACAAGAAAGATTATACCATCTCTTTTCACCTAAAACTTCGCCATAAATTAACCATAGACTGAGCAAGGTAATTGTAGTTGGTGTAAATAATAAGGCAGGTTAAAATATGATTACTTAAAATTGCAAAATACAATGAGATAAAATGTTAGTAATACTCTCACAAAGAAAATATAGAATTTATAATGTAGCACTAGCACAGACCTTTAAATTGAAATATGTCGAAGTGTGTAACTAGCCCAAAGGAAAGGAGCAAGCATCCACACTAACTTGCAAGAACGCCACTGCCCGCTAACCCAATACCGAGCCTTGGCATCCTCATGAAATCCTATCATATGTGCAATCCAGTTTCCAGTTTGTAGGTATATTTCTTTAATTATCATTAACTACTTTTCTTTTTCCCCGCTTTCCATTTGCACCATTTTAGATGTTTCGTGAAGTAGATTTTCTTCCCACCCGATGAACCTGATCAGCCACCTGGTCTCTTTTCTTGTTTAATCTCAGTAGAAGTATGTTGATTATATAGTAATAAATTTGTAACCATACCAAGAAATCCAAATCTGGATCTCGGAATAAACTTGAGCAATTACAAAGATCCAGTCCAAATTGCACTCCACAATGGACGCGACTGTCAGCCTCAATTAATGTAAATCAGATTACCGCCCCCTCCTTTCTCCCTGCGGCCCCATTTTAACTGACCACACCCTGAACCTCACGTAACTCCAAGGCAATCAGCATCTCACAAACAAAATAAATAATATTGCAAGTTCCAAATTACAACCTACAAGTCGAGGAATATATTTTTCGACATGACAAATCGTAAATCGAATGGAGATTTACGCCATCTCCATAGAAGTCTTCCCGGGAGGGCAGATAGGTCACCTCCCCCGAACATTTTCAAAGGGACATCGTAACCTCACATAATATTCCTTTTTATTTTCCTAAGTATGTTAAATCTCTGATAAAACGACGTATATAACGTATAAACGTATTTTAAAATTTACAATGATTATACAATCCGGTGGACACATTCCGGATATTGTTACAGCATGTATAGTTGAGTAAGTATTATTTACAAGTCTAGGAGGATTAAATTTGGACAATATCTGTGTTCTTCTTAGCTGCAAAAGTCAAGGCTTGTGCTTCAGCAATTAATTCGTTGATTCGCTATTTATCAATTATTATCATTATCATTATCAGTATTATTATTATTATTATTATTATTATTATTATTATTAATATAATAATAATAATAATAATAATAATAATAATAATAATAATAATAATAATAATAATAATAATAATAATAATTCACTTATGTTTATGTCTCAGTTTTTTAAATAGTACATAATGAAAGCATTGCAAAATAATTGCTAATTTTGATTGTGCTTTATATGTTCGATTTTTAAATTTTACTTTTGAAACGGTGTTACTTGAATTTGTATCTGGATATTTATAATTTGCGAGTAGAGCCTACGAATGAAGTAAGTTCTGAAAAATAACTGATTTGTTGCATTGAGCGCATTTTGACAAGTCATTTTATAAGCTTTGTGATATATTCAATGTAAATTTTTCATAATTATGAAACAGTAGCAAATTGTACATTATGGATCTTTTGTATTACGGACGAATTCGGCACAAACAACTTCTGAATCTACTCCTGAAAGTTGCCAATTTAGACTGAACCCCCCATAGACACACCCTAAAAAGGTTTTACAAAATCCAAAATTTTTAAAATAAAAATGTAAATTGTTCTAAACTACCCAAAGAAAAGCGGCAAATTCGGAGTCGATTCATCCCATAAGCACCCAAAATGCGTTTCATAATTCAACCTGTGGCGCTACAACAAAACATACTTTCTCGTCCGTATTTTCATGCAAAATTACGCGAAATGTTCCTAACTTTTCGAAAAATTATACATGACCTTATTTCAAAATCTATATTTAAGAAACAGATTTCATTAAGAGAAAAAATCTCTATCTTTAATATTTTGGTTGTAAGAAGACTACACAAAAATTTGATCTTTTTGAATTTTCGAAAAATCAAGATTTTCAACGAACATGAGATATGTACCACTCAAATTTCCTTCACACTATCCAACAAAAAATTTCAATCAAAAACAAAGGAACCATTTTTTTAAATTTTGGAAATGTCCCAGGGTCTTCATGTAAAGTATCCCTTCATGTAAATTAAAATATCGGTTTCAAATTCAAGAGGCTGTGACATCATCCAGATCGATTGGGAAATATCAATTTTGGAGAAAATCGGCTGAACGGCCAGCGTTGTTCACAGACGGATGGACAGACAGGCGTTTTGCCGTCATTCGATTTTTCGGTATCAAGGACCCACAAAACATGGATTCTGGCTATACCACGTGATAGAGAATTTTTTTCTAAATTTAGCAACTGGATATATCCACTTTTTCGTTACCAGGGCCATGCAATAATTTTTTCTGCCGAAAATACTCCGTAGCAAGAAAGTAAAAAGAAACTAAAAATAGTTGTATATTAAAATGTCATATATAAATAAAAAAGTTAAATGGATAGAAGACACCAAAACTGAAGATTTCCCTGTCTTTTTAGGTTATGTACATATGGGCGTCTCACATCGCAGCGCGAGAAAGTAAAAATAGGCAAATATTGGGGTACGGGCTTCGATAGCAAAATATTTTTCCTGAACAGTGGGCAAAAATAACGAATTTTTACACAGCATGCACTCGTACGTTTAAGGCAACCACATGACCGGAATGTTTTGAAGTCTTAAAAGCGTTTAGTAGGTTTTCGTTCTAAGCGTACGATAACTGAAGAGTACGCTCCGAAGCGTGCCAAAAGATATAAATCCACAAAAACAAAACCATGAACTTTTTAATAATTTGCTCTCTATCAAGAGACTGTAGATGAAAGCCGCATTGAGGTGAGGGATTTTGTCAAAACATGAAATTAGAAACCATTAAAAATTGAAAAATCGAAGTTAAAATTAGGATGTAATAATTTAAGGAAAGGATTTTCAAACCAGTAAAATTCACACGAGCTATTTACAATAACTTTGGCCTGAGGGCAATATTCCCGATTATACCGATCTTACCCGATTGTAAAGAATTTATACTTTCGCATGTGGAAAACCGACATGTACAAATCCGTTAAAAGTCAATTAAAGTAACTGAAAATGTAGAAATATTCTATCTTTCCCTCACTCAACAACTTACCACTATCATCTAACAACGTTATGCATGTCACAACTAATTCACTACTAATGCCGAACTATAAGAAGACCCAACGGCCTCTGTGACATGCTAGCGTTGGAAGTGCAGCCGTTGTGCCGTCTCCCCACATTTTACACCTTAGTGCCCAATTTACAGGCTTTCTTTTGAAGAACGATCCCAGAGTTTTAGCAAACGCGTGGAAAGGAAGCGTGTAAATCTGATCTAGCAAGATAAATAAAAGCTTTGTGTCGTGTGTCTGCAGGTGGCAAGTATGTTCCCCGGGCCGTGCTCGTCGACCTGGAGCCAGGCACCATGGACTCGGTCCGGTCGGGTCCCTTCGGCCAGCTCTTCCGACCGGACAACTTCGTGTTCGGGCAGTCGGGCGCCGGCAACAACTGGGCCAAGGGCCATTACACGGAGGGCGCCGAGCTGGTGGACTCCGTGCTGGACGTCCTGCGGCGGGAAGCCGAGGGCTGCGACTGCCTGCAGGGCTTCCAGCTGGCCCACTCGCTGGGCGGCGGCACAGGCTCCGGCATGGGCACGCTGCTCATTTCCAAGATCCGTGAGGAATATCCCGACCGCATCATGAACACCTTTAGTGTCGTACCCTCTCCCAAGGTATGCTTTCCATGACCTAACCTATGCAAGAATGATTATGTATTTTGTGCGTGTGTGTGTGTGTGTGTCTACTCATCCCCAAGATACGCGAGAACGCAATACCCCGATAGCATCATGACCACCTCCAGGGTCGTGCTCTCACCTAAGGAAATCTTTGTACATCGAACGATGAATACGAACGGATTAATGATTCAACTGCTAAGGTCATTAGTCCCTTTAGTGTAGTGCAAGTTTTCATCGTGAGAGATGACGGTACTCCCCTCACTGGCTGGCGAGATCCGGCGCCGACCTGCGGCTGCTTGCGGGTTTTTTCCCAAACATATCTACCACATCACTAGCAGGGTACCACCTCAGCTGAGAAAAGCTCTAAGCTCTCGACATGTGTGGTGCGAGTAAGTAAAGAGTGAGGATGGGACAAGCAAGAGGAAGGAAAGGTTGCGCGCGATCCGTTTGTTAGGGTACCGCTCCGGCATTCACGTGATGTTGATAGGAGAAACTACGGACAACGGTCGATCAGAGCAGCCGACAGCTAGAATTCTCCGCCAGCCAGTGTCTGATCTCGACCTAGCTATGCAGCCAGTGTCAAAGGTTCTTTCACCGTCGGTACTTGAACTCTAGGACCTCCCGGTCAGAGGCCCCGCGCTGTTATCAGCTAATGCCCTGAACCACCTTTGCCTTTTTTTACGTACGAACGGTGTCTGTGTGTTGAATATGCACTCGCTGCTCATTTTCAACCCCGAGCGAATCGTGAACACTTTCAGCTTTGTGATCTCTCTCTCGATATACTCATTTCGCATGATGATCTACATATGAATGAGAATGTGTGCGACATGAACACGTTTATTGCAACAAACATCTGATTTACGCAGAAATGGTCCAGGGCAATTACTGTTGCCACGGCAGTGGCTGGCTCGTAAAGTTCGAGTTCTGGACTGCTTGGATGAATTCAACAGCTTTCTGGAAAATCTATAGCGGCAGGCTGCTCTGATCGGTATTTTTTCGTGGTTTCTCCGATCAATCCCACGCGAATGCCCGAACCGTGCCTTAGCAAACTGGCCACGAACCGCGGAACGTCTTTCCTTCCTCAGTGCCGTCCTGCCTCTCTCTTTACACACAATTACATGCACTACACTACCACCAGAGCATAGAGCTTATTGCGGTTAGAGCAAAGCCCCGTTACAGCAGGTATCCGGGTAAGTGAAACCCTTACAAACAGACATGTAGGTCGGCGCTGGATCTAACGTGGGGAGAAACGCCGTCACCTCCCGGTATACAACATGCACTACACCTACGGGACTGACGACTGTAACAGTTCAGGCGCCTGGACACACAAAATAACCAATATGATCAGGAATGAATGTGTAGAAATGGAAAGCTGCTAATCTTACAGAAAGTCGTGACACAGGTACGAGTATGAATGTGTGAGACATAAGGACGCTGCTCAACGATCAGATAAAAGTATGACCAAACTGCATCATGAGCACTTTATGTCGTGCTTGTGCCGAATGTAAGTTACGTTGATGATGCTTTTAGGATTCAGAATACGAGTCTTATTCACCTAACATTCAACCAATTACAGACGTTACTAGACATAAATAATTCAATTTTTATGTGTCATCAGAAGAAAATTGAATTTTCAATAATGTTTGCTCAACTAATTTAAGTTTAAAAAACAGTGTGATACAGATATAACGCACTCCTGGTGTTTCTGTCTTTTATTTCGCATCGCTCCACGAAGTCCATACATCCTATTCGCAGTTGCCACAAAATAATTTTTCTTTAATTTCTTTTACTACACTATCACTCAGCGTTTTGAACTTTGCTGACAAGTTGGTTTTCCACTGTGTAGCTTGTGAATAGTTCTCGAATGTCTCTTAAGTATTACGTATTTTACGGACTATGAGACACACTTCTTTCTTCAATAAATTGAGTCCAAAAATCAGGTCCGTCTTATACCCGAAATTAATGTAAATGTCCAGTATTTGTTTTAAAATTTCCACCAGTTTTAAAAAGGGTCATGTATTCGATGCCGCGGGACGCCAGTCTCAATCTGGCAATATTGGATTCAACTGGCAGCAGCAGTGCACCAATGCGGCAAACAGGAGTTGCGAGGATTCACAAGCTTGCTAATACGGTCTCCCTCCCACCATCACATACCCAGAGTACTGTCTAGGCTACGATGCGTCATTACAGTTTATGATGCCAGTGAACTTGTATTGAAAGTGATTTGTTTTACAGGAAACAATACAATATTTTTGTAGCTAGTTTCGTAATGATAAATAAATAAAGATATTGTCAGGTATCAATATTTTAATTCAGCTTATGATCATTTCGATCGCGTAGCGATCATCCTCAGAGCTTGCAGCTTCTGGGCCGAAAACCTGTTACCTGACAATATCTTTATTTATTTATCATAATAAAAAGGTATCTACTTCACCAACAATCCAATTAACTAGTTTCGTAATTTTGTAAAAAAGAGGTATTCATATGATGCGAGTTATAAATTTAAAAAATGATATTAAAAAAAGAGGTTAAAAATTAAGGCGCGTCTTATAGCCCGTAAAATAGGTATGCATAATTGAAAATAACTTTTAATATAAAGTGCTAAGCGCCAAATGTTTGCTACTGACTGTAAACGCATCAGATCTTTCACAGAAGTTGTTGCAGGTTCAATTGAAAGCTTTGGGTAGCGATTCCATTTTTCTTTCAACTAAAGTTTTACTTGATTAAAGATTCAAGCATTTATTCTTTAATAATTGTATTTTATGTTTTGTTTCATTTCTTCTCCAGAATGTCTGCTTTGGTTAGTTTCTTCTTAGTGCAACATGGGCTATTTTAATGACCAATGAATTTTGGGTGTGGATTAATGGTTCCGCCGGATTGTAGATATGCCATTGCCTATATTCGTCCGTTTCAGTTTCATTCCCGGCTCTGGTGACAAGTGGGGTGTTCTCTGACGCAGGTGTCCGACACCGTGGTGGAGCCGTACAACGCGACGCTATCGGTGCATCAGCTGGTGGAGAACACGGACGAGACGTTCTGCATCGACAACGAGGCGCTCTACGACATCTGCTTCCGCACCCTCAAGCTCACCTCGCCCACCTACGGAGACCTCAACCACCTCGTATCGGTACGTCTAGCATCCGGCACTGGGCGATTTCAGTCAATGGTATAAACTAGTAAATCCGCAAGACAAATTAAGGTACACGCGTCGACTTGCGATATAGTGAGAGCGAACTCTTGATTCGGGGTGACTTACGCCAGCACTCGCAAGATTGTGTGCGAGCCGTAACTCTTAACTAGCCACATCGCAACAAGTTCTACTTGAAAAAGACATCACTGGATAAGTGTTCAATTAAGGGAGGAATTCCTCCCTTCGACTTCTAAGGCTGCATTAAAAATCATTTCCTCTTCTGGACACAGGCGATTAACACTGGACAGTTCGGATTTTCGTGTCAGACCGATTTCGAGTTTTCTCGTCGGTTAAAAGCCCAAATAGTTTTAAGAGCCGGTTTCACCAACAGCCGAGTAAAGTTGAGAGTAGTTACACGAGAGTAAGCATTGCTCTGCGATAGTTACTCTCGAGTAGAATATAAGCGTTTTACCACGCTTGTGGAGGGTTATTTTACTCTAGAGTACATACTCTCCGATTTACTCCGCGAATCTGTTGAATGCGCAATATTTGAGAGCGATACAAAAGGCTGTGAGCGCGAATGACGCTGGGAACCAATGCGGATCAACGCGAACCTTTGATTAATTCCTTATATTGTATCATTCATTCAGTTTCGGAGTTCTTGGCGTTATAAACTTGTGTGGTGTTATGTTGATTTGAGTTAGCGCATGGTTGCGTAGGCTTGCGTAACTGCGTTGCGTAGGCTAACTTGAGTTAGCGTAGTTTATTTCTTAGTTTTTGTATCTTTATTTTTTAATAAATATTCTTCTTCTCTGGAAGTTAGTAACTATTTTGTCAGCAATGCAGAAAGATCGATTTTGCAGTTCGTTTATCGATGGCTGTGCAAATAAATTTTCTATAACTCGGGAACGAAAACGTTTAGTTTTTGAAATGTTGCTGATTTCGCGATTTTCTAAATTTTTATTGTTAATACTACTATTATTATTTATTGCTTGTTTTATTTTTTAAACTTTTATTCGTCTTTCAACTATTTATAGTTAAAATGTTGGAAAGGGAACTCAAGGAAACGTGCGCAAATGATCTCCCCCATACGTCACATACAGTTATACTGAATAAATAAATGAATATTTCTTAGTACTTGTCCCTGTAGTTTTTCTTTTTCTTTTTGTTATCATATACGGTACGTACTACCTTTATTTCGTATCCAAATGGGAGAAAAAAATTTATACGTTCTCTACAGTTCGCAATGTATCTAATGAAGTTAACAGATGACTTGGTCAAACATAACCTCGTGACAAAACTTCGATCGTCATAATTAAAAATAATCCATTTCTCCCGCACCCTTTGTCTTCGCACTAGTGGATGATATTCCGAATCATTGCTGGAATTGTCTTCAAATACTATCATTCGTAATCGCATAACAACATTTCGGAGATGCATACACGTTGAAAACTGAGCTAACTCCGTACTTTACCAGACGAGTTTTCGCAGTGTAAAGTTACTCTCGAATTTAATCTCGTGTAAGCGATTTACACTCGATTTAAGTGTTGGTGAAACGCTCCAAGAAGTTACTCTCGAGTAAACATGATTTACTCCAAACTAAACTCTTACTCTTTATTTGGTGAAACCATACTCGTCCACAGTTAATTCCTCATAGCTATCAACTAAAAAATATATTTTCTTTAACCATTCAAGGAAACTATTATTTGTAATGAAATTCAGTACTGTATATGAGAGGACGTTCCGCCCTATCTTGGAAAGCCGCCATTGGACGATTCATTTCACTTGCATAAACTCTTCACAAACGGTGTTGTTAGTGCACTTCGGGAGTCTTTTAGAGCACGGAGCGATAACATTGGGCAATTTTATGAAATGCAGAAACACCCGCTTAGCTAGACGGTTCCTGATCCTTAAATTACCTTTATCGAAAATCTTGATCATAGTTTCCGATCTACCGATTTCTTGTTTGGAGTCCGCGACAATGAGCGCCGCGACGCAGGCGCGAAATCCAATTGTACTGCGGTCGTGCACGTGGGAACGTTTACATACAGTCAGCAGCATGGGTAGCTGGGAACCGAGTTTCATATCCCCGGATATGCACGGCGCCGGCCGTAGCTATGAAAACGCTCAGACATCGACCAGCTGTCAATCTCAAAGTTCTATCTCCCGAAGACGAGAGTAGCGAGATTTCCGATTTACGCCTAATACAAGTGTTTTTTCTACTTTTCATCAAATATTTCCCAAACTAAATTTTTTGTTTCACCTATGTATTTACACCATAGGAATTAATCCTGAAGACCATGTGTTAAACTTTGATGGTAAGCAATGTAACATAATTTGTATAAAACAGTCGTTGAATTAAGCCACATTTCTCCAATCTATAGAAATATATTGATGATATTATTATTATTATTATTATTATTATTGTTAAATATGATCACAAGAAACCTCTACTGCAATGAAGCGACTGTTTTGACATTTGGTATGTGCTCGAATAAGGTTAAGCAGAGTATATTTCATAGTATGCCATGAACCCTGACGGCAGATTATGCTGGTATTGCTAAACTAGTCGCATAAGCAAATAAATGCGAAAGAAAATACGCTCTAAATGCAAACGCAAACATATATGAGCATTTAGCGCCAGCAATACACTGCCATTAGAATTCGGTACAGTTTCCACTAATGCAGGGGTGTCCAACTATCAAGGCCTCAACTACAATCTTTAATATGGTTGCGGGCCATATTTACATTATTCGGACGAACCTCACTTGACTTCCCCGAAGTGTTGATCTCGGCATTTTGCCCGGCTGCTCTGAAACAAAGGCGGAGGGAATGGAACCACGCGCAATATCAGGCTGTGGGATGCGTGACACATTGGGATAATTTTGAACTTACTAGAAAAAAATCCTACTCTAAACTTAACATGCTTTTACATGAATGGGGGGGCACACCAGGGCCCGTAATGTTCATGAATGCAAGGGACATGGCGGGCCACATGCGCTCGACAGTTGGACGACCCTGCACTAATGTAAGAAAAACGTAATCAGCAAGAGTTTGTTTCTCACTCAGAGATTCTCTGGTTTCCCTCTGTTCGTAAAGCCTGATTGTTTGTGTGCTTAGGTGACGATGTCGGGAGTGACGACGTGCCTGCGCTTCCCGGGCCAGCTGAACGCCGATCTGCGCAAGCTGGCCGTCAACATGGTGCCCTTCCCCCGCCTGCACTTCTTCATGCCCGGCTTCGCGCCGCTCACGGCGCGCGGCAGCCAGCAATACCGCGCCCTCACCGTCCCAGAACTCACGCAACAGGTGGGTGCAGTGAACCCTCAAAAGCCTTTGAAATAGCTTGACACGAACTTGGCCGCAACCCCAAAAAAACATTTTGGGTTCCGGCAAGGTAATATAGAAATATCGATGTATATAACCAGATGACACAAATTCTTATTATTTCGGTCCATTGGAATTCGCAATGCCATGTATTTTGAATCTAAAAATGAGAATACTGATTTGTAGTAATGCGATCTTCATATGGTAGTTGTTATGGGTTGGGTTTCAGGGGGAATGCCCTCTCTTTCTAGATTCGCATCTGCTCGCTGCTACCTAGCGGGTTGGCCTGTCTAAGCGAAAGTTAGTCTTTTATTTTCGTATTAACAAAAGCTTGCATTGTTTAAGGAAATCAATAACAGTTTTTAAAAATTTTATTTTACGTCAAAGACAGAAACTATGTATGACATGCTACGGGAGAAGTGTTGCCTATTCTGTGCACGTTTTCTTACTTCTGGGATCCCTTTTTTGTTTGAATATGTTACACTCAAACAACAACTTTACCATACGGCAGAATTTTTACCCATAACGGAACGAGAACAAAATACACACGAGGCGTCGGTCTTTTTCAGAAATGAAATACCCACGTTAAGGATAAACCGAGAGAGGCGGCTCCGAACATCAAGTATTGTCAATGCAGTGCCTCTGACCAGGAGGGCATAGGTTTCGAGTACCAATGGTGAAATAACTTTTTACACAGGTTGCATAGCTAGGTCGAGATTAACCGCTGTCTAGAGAATTCTAGCTGTCGGCTGCACTCATCAGTAGTTGTTCGTGGTTTCTCTGATAAACACCACGCGAATGCCGGGGCAGTACCTTAACAAACGGACCGCGCGCAATCTTTCCTTCCCATTCGGTTATATCATCATCCTTTACTTACACTCATATGCACTACACTACCCCCACACAACCGGTCGGGAGCGTGACTCGGCTGGGGACACCTGGTTGGGGGAAAACCCCTGAAGCCGACGGTAGGTTGACGCCTGATACCACCATCCAGTGGTGAATGATTACCGCTACCTTCCACGATAAAACATGCATTACACTTACTGGACTAATGACCTCAGCAGTTGAGCTCGGAATCACTAATCAGCCAACTAACGTTATGGACAAACACATTTGCTCAATCACCGATCAAATATGCAGCCGTGAGGGGAATAGCGTCGAATTCATAACCTCAAACTGCCGGTTCATGCTTCGTTATGCCATATCTCTGGCCTTCGCAATTAAACTATCCTCGACTCTGTCCAATGCATAATATCCCTCAATTTTATTCAAAGTACTTTTTCCCGAACACACTAACGGGCGCTTTTCTACGCGTGCGGGGCAAGGCTTCGGCGTTTAACATAAACCATCGTTGAGTATCAGATGTTTCAAACAAGCTCTAAGTTCCGTATATGTATTGTAGTGGATGTAAGTGTGTAAGTAAGAGGTGATGATAGATCAGGCGAGGGACGTGGCCCGTTTGTTAGGATACTGCTCTAGCATTAGCTTGAGGTTGTTCGGAGAAACTATGGGCAACTACCGATCTGAGCAGCCGACTGCTAGAATTCTCCTCCGACAGCAACTAAATTTGACCTAGCTATTTAAAAAAATCCTGTCGTCAGGACTCGAACAGAGGCAATGGAGTGACATAAATTGATGCCGATCCGTCTAGCTACTAAGCCGGTGCTTTTCATTGGGTATATCACGGAAAGATTATGTTCGAATTACAAAATAATTTCAATTTTGAAGATTCAACTGTACTACTTGTGTTCATCCTGCATGACTAAAATTAAGTACCGTATTGCACTTGTATTTTTGTAAACTGGGTAAGCTTTGCCTGGAAGCAACTAGAACTGATTTCCACTAATTACCTGACAATCTGATTGTCTTCTCTCTGAATTTAGATATCTTTAATGCATTGCACGGGTTAACTCCTAATGCAATTTAATTCTCTAACAAGACGGTAAACTGGGTAGACCTCTGTCGGGCTTGAAAATAATTATTGTCCTACAATAGAAATCCATATTTCAGATGTTCGACGCGAAAAACATGATGGCGGCATGTGATCCACGCCACGGAAGATACCTTACAGTAGCCGCCATCTTCCGAGGCATGATGTCCATGAAGGAAGTGGATGAACAAATGCTCAACGTACAAAACAAGAACTCCAGGTGAGTAGCTGCCACAACTAGTACAAGGGTTATTAATGTTGACTTACAAATTTGTGCATGTGCTAACATTCATGGGCGATGATAAACATTCATCCAGGACGACGAAGGAAGACGCGTGGCGTACGTTTATTAATGAAATTAGTCGTTCTTGACTTGTCACTAGTAGGCTTACGGGAGTCAATGGCATAAAGAAATGAAATATATATATATATATATATATATTGATAAATAAGAATAGCATTAAATTTACGATCTACCCCCTTTATATTTTATTTGAAATTGAGTATGTTACGGTTAAAGACCCTCAAAGATGCTCATTAGCCAGATGGCGTGGGCTAAGTATGGATAGTTTTAGTCCTCACATGACTAATACTGGCATTAGTCACAAGGCACTAGCTAAAGAAAGATAATTATCTGTGCAAGTTCGTAATAAGTATTTTGACTTTAAAGTTCACAGAAAATTATGCGTTACACAGACTCAAAATTGTTTTATATAATTCCCGAAAGACAGCCTCGACATCAACTCGAAGAAGCCTTGCAAAACGTATTGTACATTAAATAATTTCAATTTCGTACCGATAATTCCAATATTTATACACGGGGTACAATTTGCTGATGAGGGTGATGTATATAGTGATGATAGTATCCCCAAGAACTGATGGGATGTGACTTCGACGTCCTCTGGTATCTTCGGTCGCGCGCTTCTGTACTACAAACATATTATTGGACACGCATTTGCGTTAATTATTGTAAAACATGATCAAAAGGCCACTTTCTTGGAACACTAATTTCTCCATTAGACACGTATTCACATTTTCTCTGAAGTGATCTGGCCCAGCTGTCAGGTACATTTTGTAGATTGACCTGATTAAGTGGTTACATCTAGCGATCTTGAACTTTAATATTGTAAAAAATATAGTAATTCTATAAGATCTGATGAAAGCTTCTTGTAATAGCATACACTTTATTAAGCGGCCAGCTCTATTAGCCAATTTGCTATTAGTGTCCCTAGAGACAAGTTTCACTCTTCAATGGAACCTCTCTGAAAGACCACCCCTCTCAACGACCCATTTTTCTTGGAACGGACACGAAACGCTTGTATTGTATACAAATTATACCTCTGTTAACAGACCACCACTCTCCCCGACCATTCCCTTAATATCAATCTTCTAAATTTATTCCTTTTTAAGTGACCACTTCCAGGAAAAAACTGAGTATACAGTACACAGAATTTTCAGTAGTAAAGCGAAAAGTGATGACATAAGTATTCGCTGTGTCTCAGGTTCACTCTCTCGAGGGCAGGGAGCAGGGCCGGATTTACCTGCAAGCAAAACAAGCTGTTGCTTGGGGGCCCGCGTTTCGGAAAAATACGCATACCATATTTTTTGTCTGTGAAATAATTGTTAATCAAGTAGTCTACTGTGTAGCAAAATGTACAATTTCAAAACATTTTTAAAAAATGAGTTTAAGCTGAGAAATCTTCGTTTTGAAGACATCGACCAATTTTCTGCAGTGAAGAGCAGAAAAAAAATGTAATATGTATTTAATGTAAAAAAAAATGTAACACAAGTAAAAACTTCTATAAAAAATTATGTTTTCATTTGTATCTGTACAGAAAGTACTTGTACTATAACACATTTTTTATTTAATAAAGATAGAGCTATTTGGGGGGGGGGGGACACAATTTTGTGCTTGGGGCCCCGCACTACTAAAACCCTGCCCTGGCAGGGAGATACGGGAATCAATGAAGAAACGTTGCCGTTGATATGATATCACGGTTTATTTCAGTTTCGTTTCCTTTAATGTGACGGCGGACGTGGAAGTGATATATCGTTTAATTCTTTGAAATGCGGAAAGGAGACAGTAACACGGCACCTCCCCATGTTATGAGATTCGCGGCCTCGCAGCGTCCCTTTAACCTGCACGTGTATCGTGTAGCTCTACTTTGGCGATGCACGCATTTAGGTTGCCGAGTAGGTTTTCAAGCTGTAACAATTTGAATACAATATAAAGGTGTAAATAAAATGTATATATGTAGCGATTGTCCATTACCTACGACATCCCAAAGGGCCTGCACCGAGCATGACGTACAAGCAATAATGCATACTAATTACTATATTCTTCAAAATGAAGTTCACTAGTACATATATTTACCACAAAAAGTTAAGAATTAGGAACACACCATAAAATATACAACACGAATGGCGAACTCTCTGGAAGTCGGGAAATATTATGGAACGATCTGACTGGACAGTTGGAGTGAATTTATGGAAAAGATGTCTTTTACTGGTCGTCTTTTCTTTCATTAGGTGTCGGAAACAAGAAACAGGGCGACTAGTATGTTATTTCTCATTTCCGGCCCTGCCTCCTGGGCCCGTGCTGCAGCGATGGCCCGACCACGCACTAACATGCTCGGGCAAGGCGGATTTCGAAGGATAGTAATGGGCGAGAAACTTCCCTCAAACTCGTAATCGGAAGGACCTTTCTAACTGTTTACCTGTAGTACTTAAACCATACAGAGGATTCCCCCTCGAAATTGATATTCCTCGATTAACCTCGCAGATACGCACATTTCCACTCTTTGAAGGCACTTGAAGCCTCGACATTTTCAATGGCTTCCCCCCTCTCTATAATATAATATAAATATATAAACATTAATGAAACTGAACTGAAACATTGATTATAAAATTACAATTAATTTAAATCATACTTTCACCACAATGTACATTTCATATACAACGTTTTGTTCCAGTTACTTTGTGGAATGGATTCCTAATAATGTTAAAGTGGCTGTGTGTGACATTCCCCCTCGTGGACTCCGCATGTCTTCCACCTTTATTGGGAATACAACAGCAATCCAAGAGATTTTTAAACGCATTTCTGAACAATTCACAGCAATGTTCCGCCGAAAGGCTTTCCTGCATTGGTATACAGGAGAAGGTATGGATGAAATGGAATTTACAGAAGCTGAATCAAATATGAACGACCTTGTCTCAGAGTATCAGCAATACCAGGTAAGCAAGACTGCAAAATAAAGGAAATTAAATAGCGATTACAAAACTTGTTTCTTCAATTGCCCTAATACATTTCTTTTTCGATCGATATAAAAAAGCAAGATTTTGAGAGTGTGAAGTTTAGTCTCAAAACATTTGAAAATCTTGATATCACCCAAAACACTTTTGTAAGGTGGTGCTGTTTATATCCATGATGAGTAGAGATGACGCAAATAATGGATCATAAAAGAAGCACTTTTACAAAATCCTGGAAACAAATGGTTTATATTTCAAGTGTTTCTGCAACACAGTTGTGTGCTAATATCTCTAAGTCAGCTTTCCCATATTAAGTGCATGTCAGCTCAAAAGACCAAAATATTAAACAAAACATTCCAGAGCTTGTCATTTATAAATACGCATTTAGAATATTACCTATACAAAATTTAGTATGCTGCTCTGGAAAACGAACATCTATACACTCAATATTCAGACTTACAAATGAATATTAACTGTGCATTTTCATTTTCAGGAAGCTGGTGTTGATGACGATGTGGAATTTGTGGAAGAAGAAGAGGAGGTATTAGAAGAAGGCCAGTGAGGAATTATTATTATCATAAACACAGCATTAAGTTTCCAATTATATTCATTGCAAAATCTTTTATTTCAAAGTTTTTCAATAAAGAATAACAAAACTTAATTTGTAGTTTCTATTCTGTCATTTTCATTTAGGGTCTTACACATGGAAAAATACAATAACGATTATATACTACATACACTCACAACAATGATAAAACACACTTCCATAACAAAATTCCTTATTAATAATATCTATTTACAAATGTTGACTTGTGCATCAGCGCCTACCCTGAAGTTGACGCATCATTGCACGTTGCTGTCTGGCAGCAGGAGAAAAGGGAACAAATTTTCTTGCTGTCAAAGCTCGAGCTTTGATTCGGCACTCCAATTCTGTGAGGCTGCCACTACGGTTTGGAAATATAGGTGGTGGAGACGATCCTCTTATGGGTATTTCACTACACATGTCTGAATGCATTCTTCTTGATGCACGAGAGGTGCTAGGAAGAATAGAGTCATGAGGTGAACAAAATCGCCGACTGCTTCGCCGTAGTGGAATACTTGTTGCTGGTGAGGGTGGCTCAGTAGACTCTGCAACAACTGAACCAGGCAATGGGGATCTGACTAGTTGTGAAGAAATGTTGGAAATATGTATAGGAAGCTGATGTTTGTATTCAGTTGGCTTAATTACAGAACCAGATGTATCCTGTGATCCAATAGCTGGTGAAGAAAAAATTGCAGGAGATGCAATCATGGAAAGTGGAGAAACACAAGATGAAGATAAACAGGATGGAGGGGAAGAGATTGGAGAGCATTGAGGACAAGGAGTAGGTGGGGGTTGAGGAGAAATGCAAGAAGACTGGGAAGAATAAAGTGGAGAAGAATTACTCACAAGACTTGAAGATGATGAACTGGATGAACTCTTGACTGAACTTGAAATAGAAATAACAGAACAATTATCTTCACAGTTTGATGATATATTACTAAAATTTCCACTACATGATGAACTAGGTGCAATTACATAAGAAGAACAATCTTCGTCATAAGTGATTGAACCTAAACCTGATATTGAAGCTATAGTATCATTTAGGGAATCTTCTCCTACTTCCACCACATCCTCAATCTCATCACTACCCTCACTATCGATTTTGCAATATTCTGAAATGGATGCTATTGTTTCGTCAAGTGCATCTTCTCCTACCTCTATTTCAACGTCTGTTTCATCACTAGAAGATACCGTTTCGAAAGTTGATGCAAATGGTCTTCCTTCAGGAATTACAATCACTTCTTTAACAGTTCTCTTTTTTTTAGAGTTTCCACCATTCACATTTTCATGACTGTGCAAAGATCTTTGTATATCTTCTCCCAACGAACGACTTCGGCTCCTTGTACGAACAGGAGACCTTTCTCGAAAATTCTTGAAATTTCGACTGACACTTCTTGTTCGTTTTCGTTCATCATTTCTTGTTTGACAAGCTGCATTGTCATGTTCCCACAACTTATGTGCATTGTCATTTGCTTCTAGCTGCAGTTGTTTTTGCAATGTGAATTGATCCCTTCTACTACGACCCTTTTGACACGTCCTCCGATGATTATCTCGTTCAACACTGCGTTCTCTTCTGCGTACATTGTACCTTTTCAACAAGACAACAGGTTGAAAAGATGCTAATTTTGCCAAAGCCAAAGATGAAAAGTTTTGGGTATTTTGTGCAAGTAATTTACTCTTGTTGTCAGTAGCTGAATCTGCTGATTGGGAAAGAGTTTTTTTTCTTGGAGATTTTCTTGAAGGACTGACCTGTAAAGGTATATTCGTCTGAAAAGATTTTTCCCGTCTCTTATTATTCGAAGTTCCAGGAGAGGTAGATCTTTTACGCTTTTCCTTAGAATCTTTTTGATTTCGATATGTATGCCTCCGAGTCTTTAATTCATAATAATGTAATCTGCTTTCACTATCAGATGATTGCTTATCAGAAGAAACTCCACATGTTGTAAGCCTGACCTGTGATGAGATCTGAGGAGATTTGGAATAATCTGAAACAGGTTTATGACAACCTGAGGATCTACTCTGCGAGCGTGTTCTCGGTTTCTCAAACAATGTTGAAAGCACTTTAGTCACAGAGGTGCCTGAAACTTGATTTGAACTAGACTGAGATGTACAATTTGGACTTTTTGATCGAGTTGCTCGATTCACACTTCTTGACTGCAATGCTCGATTAGGACTTCTTGATCGAGAAGCTCGATTTAAACTTCTCGATCGTGATGCAATGTTTGAGTTTCTTGACTCAGATGCTCGGCTGCTTTTCTGTGAATGATAATGTATCACCCACTGAAACAAATAGTTTTGATTAACAAAAACAAAATAAAAAAATTGTAGAAAAAATGAAAATGTTTGCAATTATTGACAACTGAAAGATGTAATTTAAGAAAAGTTCATAGGATTTAGTGAGACACTAGAATGCTTTCTTCCTTAAATGGATTTTGCCAATAAATATCTCTTTTCCAATATGAAAATAATCCTACATGAAAATAAAGATATATAATTAAGATGACAATAAATACAACTATGAATTTCATAATTTGGCTCTTTTTCCAAATTCTTTGAGCAAGCACCGAAAGCAATGAAAATTTTTCTACTTCTGAAATTCAGAATGGATGATTTTGCAGTAGAGTACCTATTTTATCTCTAGCATTGAAACTATTTCTTCCCACCTTCGCAATAACGAATGTCTCATTTAATTTTCCAAAAGTGTCAGCCTGATTAAAAAGTTTTGCTACCCATCCATCCATCAATCTCTGTTGATTGCACATCTGTATTCATTTCTCAGCAGATGTGATAATTTTAATGTAAGGGCCTTTTCCAGAGGTGAGGATGCCTTTCTCATTGCTTGTATTGCATTTTGTTATGAAGTTATTTTTGCATAATTAAAGTTTTCAAGTTATTAAATAATAATAATAAATAAATTTAATACTTGTAAGACTGCAGGTTTTTGATTCCAAGGGTTACTGAATTTTATAACTGGCTCTACAGAACTCCATATTTTAAATATTTCACTGGAGAATAAGACTGAACACTTCTGTTAAGAAAAGAAACAACTTTCAAATAAATTAACAGAGTAAATATCAATTATTTTTACATGAACAATTAATCTAATAAATCAAACTTGCAATTCAAAGATATTTAGACTTTAATAGCAATACTGTGCTTGCACTAGTTTTGATATTTGCTGCATTTACTGACCAGTTAGTTCTGTGAAAACATCAATTAACTGAATTCAGTCAATGTACTTACGAAATTGACAATGAAATTGCAGCAAACACACTTAAGTTGTACTTGAAATGTGATCAAAGGAGACCAACTTGGTCATTGGATGATCGCATAAAATAAAATGGCGTCATTGAGTTGCCAATCATCACCAGAAGTCATTACAGAATCTTGAACTTTAGCTACCTGAAGGAGAGCAAAATCAAACATGACTAAGTTAAGGAAATAGAGGTATAACTTAAAACCTCATTATCCATCAGGATATGAATAAGGGATTCGTACATATTTATGTTTGTGGAAAGGCAGTCAAAGGTGTGAATTAAAAGGCTAATAAAGAACTGTAAAAATTATACATTACTATTTATATGTTGTGGTTCACATTGATAACTTCTTAAGAGCAATTTGGTACATGGTATTACAATATTACATTTGCTTAAAAAAATGTTTTGTTATTGCATTATGGAAAGGCCCTTGGATGATCACACCCCGGATAACACAGGCCCCCATTGTATCGTGTGCCGTATGTACTTTATCGAGGAAACCTGGTGCTGACAATTCAATCACATTGTTCAATAAATTTATAGTGAACCTCACTTCAACAACCTCTACTCTATTATAAAACGAAAAACTAGTACAAAAAGCTATTTTAAAAATTTCTCTGCTCCTTTAGTTTTAATTTTATTTTATTTGAGACCATTCCTGTTCCCATGAAACCTGACTGTTTATTAAGAAGCAGTACTGATTATCTTTGCGATCAGGTTCCCTGAGGGTTGGTAACAGGGGCACTAGCATTCCTATCCTGTTTTCATGATGCAATGAGGACTCATTGACAGTGACAATATATAAAATTTAATAAGAATTAAAATCCATTGGACATCAGCACAGCAATCTGAACACAATGTATATACTTCAATTAAAACATAATCAGGAACTTGAACACCACTATAGTGTGATGTTCAAACTTCTGACAGATTCACACAATTGGCCCCGAAAACCTTAATAGCAGAACTGCCCAAGATGGAAACCAGTGTTCCCTCTGTGATTCTTCAGAGCAATTCAGGGGCTCTGAGAAAAATAAGTGTGGTGCCAACCTTTATCTTTAGAATTTTATATATCACATTCATCCATTCACACCCAACATGATAGATTCATTAAGGTTAAATACATACCAACTGACAGAGTGGTTCTCCTTTGCCCAGAGATGGTCCAGGCATTCCAGTCAAGGATTGCAAAAATCTTGAGAGGAGGTTTTGAGGGGTCTTAATGGAGCTGGCAGAAGAGGATTTACCCATATGTATATATTCCCGGGCCCTGTTAAAAGTGCACATTAACACATTAGAAAGAATACAGCACTAAAACAGTGAATGGTATGTGTATACATTTCACAAGCTCTCCCTTTTGAAATGAATGAACTTAGCAATCAAGTTCCCATTCTTTCTGAAAATAACCATAAGAAAATAAATGAAATTATAAATTAAAAAGAATAAATTATCTTTCTTAAGATATACAAGGAGGTCTTTCGCTCAATTTCAGTTGATCAAAATTGTATTCATTAGTTTTTAGTAATTTATGTCTACTTGTTTTTGATTCAGTGATGCTACATGACGATTCACAATACCTCTAACAAAGCAGTGCAAGAATTACAGTAGCATTATTACACATATTGAATTAAAAACTATATCTATGACATACTAAAATATAAATTTTTAGAAATTTCGTTCATCTTTTTTTAGAAATACAATTTTCAAATCTCCTCGGGATAGACATATGGCAAAAAGAATTTGACTTATAAAAACTTACAGGCCAAATACTGCATAATATCAGCCAAGGTAATATTTATGAGTAATGAATGGAAGCAGCAATAGCTGATATATACACAATCACATGTATCTTACAATTAACAAGGCATCAAAAGTGGCACAAAAATATTAAATACCTAACAGAAAAGAGCAAAGTTTATTTAATTTATTGAAAATACTAGGTGTAGCAGAATGTAAGTATAACATATTACAAAAACCTTTTCTGTATATCAGCATTCATAATAACCTTCTCTATTTCAAAAACTTGTTAAAAAAATTGGCACAGCTAGGTCTCTCTGCTCGACTTCATAAAACCAACTGCAAAACAGCTTTTGAAATTTGTTTCCAAAATTAAATTTGGTTATTTTATTATGTTATACAAAATAAATTCTGTATGCAATACTCTTATAATGTTTCTTTATAGCATTTTACAGATTTGAAAACTAGCAACGTTAGAAGTCAATTTTCAAAACACAAACTTATGCAATTACGCATAACATTATAAACTAGTTGCATAATTATCTTTATAGTTCTTCAAATACATTACAACACTCAGCAGTCGCAAAACTCACCAGATTATATAAAACATTCAATTTAATAGTAGTATGAAAACAGTTGAAATTTTTACCTCTCCTCATGAAAATTTATTCCACTGTCACCGAAATGACAGTTGAATGAAGTAATACAAAATAAAACAACAACTTACTACAATATGGAATTTACAGAAAAACAATTCTGCACATCTACTATACTGTTACAATATATTATTTGTTAATTAGCCAATTATTTAATGCCTAGTATTTGGATAGTAATGTCCATATACTATTTGTAATAGAAAATACCACTTACCAGTCACAGCAGTAACTGCAGATGACTGGGGATGGGGGCTGTTTTCTCCGGGACCATTTGCAGTTGCAGAGAAGTGGTCCATTCTTTGCGGATCCCCTATCCTGTGTGGATTGGAAGCAGAAAAAGACTATACAGAGAGGAGTACAGTTTTATTTGTCCTAATGCAAGGCTCTGCGCAAGACCCCTGCTCTGATGCATAAAGAAAGTCCACAGGTGCCATCCATGCTTTCCATTGTATACAAGAAGCTAGGTAGCTCATTTGTTCAAACATACCAATACATTACAAAATTTAGGATTATCTTAAATGCTAATACAATTTCGACAACTACTCTCTAAACACTTGTAATGCTTAACTTCTGTTAAGTACCAAATGTTAGACTTTCAGTTCTGAAACACTGTGCAACAAGTAAATTGAAGGTGAGATTTTAATTTCTTATATTTAAAAATACTTAATTCACTCACACACATGGCCTAATTCCAAACTCCTGCACATGACCTACCTGCCATCTCTCATTATTGCACTCACAGATGGTTATAGTCAGTGTACTAGTGTTTGTAAAGCCATGTATTCATTAGAGTCAAGTGAAACTCACTGGGTCCAAAACACTATTTACAAATACATCAAATTGCAGATTCTGTTAAATTTACGTACTCTGTAAAGATCGGAGAGAAACCTGCGTTCTTTTTCTAACACACACTTTAATATATATTTTTAAGAAACAAAGACATTCGTTCAATACTTGACTTTCCTACATGGTTATTTCAGTCTCTTTCAAAAAAAAAGAAATATTTGAAAAAACAAAATTCAATTAACTTGTATAAAAAGATTGGCAAAAATGTAACTCAGCAATGGAAATAATGAAAACAAACTAATGTGCAAAGAATTTGCAGAAGACTTTCTTTGAACTAGTTGACTTCCGTATCTGAAGATACAGATTAATGAGATACGTATATGATATATATACGTATTCATTATATATATTTATATAATATATATATATATATATTAATATATATATATATATTTATATTATATATATATATTATATATATATATATAATATATATATATTAATATATAGTCAGTATGACTTCAAGAATATTACAGAAGCGAAAAATCTGGTTGTTTATTCTCACGAGAAACTTAACCTTTCAGTTCCTGGGTCCGATTTTTGTCATTTTTTTATCTGGGTATGGTCGCTCAACTTGAAAAATTGGAAAAATTATCAGTCTCACATTAAGTTTGTATATTAAACCCACTATATATAAAGTTTATTTTACATTTTTTTCACATATTTGTTACAATCTGGTTACGAAATATTACGTTATATTTTAACACCTTATAATGATGCAATGGATTTCGTAATACCTTTTTTGCAGAACTGGTTGCATTATTTGGTTTACAGAAACCGAACTCTCGTGGTTCTGTTTATGAACTTCAGGTATCTCAGGTAATAATGATTATAGACAAAATTTTGAAGGATTAGGTGAAGACAATTCCGCCGTGAAGACAATTCAGCTCTCAGAAACGCTTGCAGTCTGGAAGACAGCCCCCGAGTAAGAGAGGGTTAAATTTGGAGCCATTTTAGAAGAAATTTTGGAAATTTGGCAGTGGCTTCATGAGAAGTACACCCAAAATTTAAAGAACGTTTTTCAAAGGGCTTCAAACCTATTCAGATTGACTGAGGAATATTAATTTTGGTAAAATTACTACAAATAGTTCAGATGCTAATGTTTTTCACAGGACAGTTGTCAAAGGTCTAGGGGAAGCCAAAGGAGGAGGAAGAGAAGAAGGAAGAAGAAAACATCAACACCACCACAAGACTTCTGGAATCAAAGAACCCAAAAATGTGTACTTCTGTTAAAAGCTTTGAATTGATTTTCCACAGCATTACATAACTTTCCCTAGACTATATATACATGAGTAAAAAGTGAATTAATGGACTTAGCGAGTTTTATTTGTATGTGTGTGTGTATATATATACATACACACTATATTTGTAGACAACACAGACAATACATCTAATTTACAATACGTTTAATACTACTTATGGAACAAGACATATAACATAGGGAAATACACATTTATACTGAATTTTCACCTTGGGAGGGGAGATCCAAGCTACATTCTTGAAAGGAGAGACCAATGCTTTGAACAATTTGAACATGCAAGTGAAGTTCAGAAATATACTTTAACTGCATTGATCAGTAGTAATAACAATGTAGCTGTAAATTAAATGTTTGCATAATTGCATCTTCTCCAGAATGGGGCAATAAAATAATGAGTCTTAGCTGTACGTACAAAAACAGTATAGTACAGTACAGTAAGTAGGGCTAGACTTATGATGATTTTGCATTTTTTTCTTGATCTTCAAAACCACTATTTTGATGAATAATGCATAATTTCTACTCACATTTTTAGATGCTCTTATTACTTTTGTTAAAAATGCCCACCCCCCTCCCCTTGGCAGCTTGATATAAAAAACTACAAAAATACTTTTTACATTGAATGGTTTTTATTTCGCTGCTGTTATTTTTATCTATATTAGAACTTATTTGGTACCTTGTTATATTCAACATTTATTTTACATGAAAAAAAAAATTGTTTGTGTTTTTTATTTATTAATACTGAAAAGTAGGCAAATTTTAAAAAATGAGATCTAATTATGCACAATACAACAATGTGTCAAGGAATCGCCTTCTCCCCCATTTTCAGGCCATTAATATTTAATTCAAGCACAAAAATTATAAAATGTAAGTATAAATGACAATATAGTCATATATAATATAACCAAATAACCAAAGGGACCAAATAAATACATAATATTCAGAAAAACTTTTCATTCATTAAAACTATTAATTAGCTTCTTTCAAGCGAGAAATATTTGGTGTTAACATCACATATGAATGTTTCAGTTTAGTTTGAAGGAATTTCTTAAAGTAATTTTTAGCTCAAATGCATCATTATTATACAGTTTATACCAAATCAAAATCCTAGCCCTATTTATGAGGTATTATATGAAGATATTTTACCAAGATAAAATTGATGCTGCTCATTTTAAGACACATACACATGCTAATTAATTCCCAATTTAAAGTTGTACAGCTGCAATTTTAAACTTCAGATGCAAACTATTATTTAAGCATACTACATTAATCGATTAAACACAGAAATTTGTTTGTCCACAAAAATTCATGAACTTTTTTGAAGAATTGAATTAAGAAATATAGCCTGATTTCTGTTAAAAAGTAAATAGATTTTGAAGCATATTTAAACATCATAAACAAGAGTGAATTAAAATTGAATCACTCTTCAAAACATTAACCACTTTTAATCAAATTTATCACAAGTATTATAATGTAAATGGTGAAAATAGACACTTTTCCTATTTAAGCGTATTTATACAGAATCAAAAGAATAGCGTGAGGCACATCTCTAGGCATGCATAGTTCAAAAGCAGAAGAGCATACAATGTTTACTTTTTCCCCCCTGTTGACACCCATGTAGTCACGCCATAATAGTAAAATATGTTGGCATTCCAATGTAGAAAGCACCAATGGAAGTACTGAACACCATAGGAAATTATGAAAGAAATGTGAAAATCATCCTGCCACAATTTAACCCACTTTCGTAATTATTATTTCAAGGTCCTCAATACAACTATAACTGAAAATGTAACTATGCATTCAGAATTTGGTTGCAGTTGAATTAAATTGAATATTAAAAGGATTTGTATACACACACTCATATACATAAAATCAAGACAGAGCCAAATGACTTGAAACAATCAAGCAAAGGTTCAGGGAAAGCGCCTACCGAAATGCTGTTTAATATTTTGGACAAGGAATCTGAAATAATCAAAGAACACTAGCAAAAGATTCTTCCATTTAGTGAGTAAGTTATTAATATTAGCAATGCAGTGCCAATAGACAGAACAATTGGTTCATGCGACAATCATTTTGGCTGTAGTTAAATACAACAAAAAAAGCAAAACTCAAAAACCACACTCAATGCGAGAAATGTGACCCACTTGCAGTACTGCGTTTCCTCTTGTGAACAATAGGATGCAAGAATATTGAATGTTTTTATTATCCTATATTATTTAAAGAACTGTGTTTTTATAAGATAAGATATTCCTACTTTCTAAAAATGGTAAATCTGAATTTCATCTTCTTTATTACCCTTCCTGAAATTCCTTCCTTACTTCAAAAAATACAGAATGTGTCTACCGCTTCTCATTAGTATATGTTTTAGGTTTCAAGAGGCAACCAAGAATCAATACTCACTAGTGGGAACCCTGCAAAACATTATTCTATCCAATATAAATTTTGGTAAATTTCAGTTTCTTTTAGCCTTTAAAATGCTATTGGTTAAGTCATGTTTCTAAGGCAAATATTTCACAAGGTTATTCACCGAATTAAAAATAAAAAAGAAGAAACACAACATCATCATAGTATAATAATGGATGAAAGCATTAGATCAAAGTATGCAGCTTCAACAAAATTGCCACAAATTTTCTCAGATGTGATTAACAAAAGCAATATGTATAATACGATAAATAATTAATGGTAATTAAAATGCTGTTGTCAACACAACGAGGAGCTGTCAAAACAAATACAGTAAAACCCTCTTTTATATTTTTCGAGGGACCAACAAAAAATTGTGTAACTTTTAAGAAAGTGTAATTGGTGAGAAATAACTGTTGCTTACATAATAGAATTCATAACTTTTATTACTAGCTAAACTTTAATAATAAATGTTGGATGTCTTGGGCCTTTCACTTCCAAAATAGTTTCAAATTTATAAGTGATAACATACCCCCCCTTCCCACACACACACTAGAACATTTAGGACAACCAGGAATAATTTCAATTTGATCCCAGCACAAACAGTATTTTGAAAATTAAATGGGAACCCTTGCAAAACATCTACCAATATAAATTTAGGTAAATGTCACGTTTTTTTAAAAGTATAAAAGCTGGAATAACTTTACATTGGGATCATGAGGGAATACAAATGACCAAGAAACACTGTAGAAGACTATGAAACATATTTCAGGAATACAAGAGCGGGATTTTATTGTAATGACTGAGAAGCCAACCAATTATTACACGTTGCACATGGTTTCCTCAGCACACTCAATATCCTTTCGTAAATCTATGATAGACCCACAAGGAGTTATAGTGAAACACCATGTATATTATTCTCCGGGGGCATAATAAATAACCGGAATTCATTCCACTTGAGTCACAGAAAGAAGCGCGGTAGTTGGAAGAGAAAAGTAATAAACAAGCTTGTTTGGACATGCATGTTCTACTGCCCAATTAGAAACTGTTACCAGCATCTTATTAGAAAAGCCCAGTGATTCATGCAAAAGCCCCTACTCACTTCCTTAGAACGTGCATTTTGCCTGTTAGCTTCCCAAATAAACACATAACTTAAGACCTTCTATTCTATAGCTATTTAACAATGCTAGCATGTACAGTGTTTCAGCTTCAAATAAATACAATCTAAATGTTTTTCCTATTATCAAACAAAGATTTTGAGCTTCTGAGTTTTTTCATTATTGAACTGACCTAAACGATCTGTGATCTGTCCTTTATGAACCATTGGATCCACTTTATATACAATTTTCCTGAGATAGGAAACTTTTCAGCAAATTGGAATACATATTCACATGCTCATGTTTGCTTGTGACTTGGCATTTTAATACAAGTCTTCTGACAACAAATCTAAAAAAATTGCAAATATAATAATTTTTATTTCAAACACGAAATTCAAACAGAGTTCTGACCACGGCAATATAAAAATGTATGCAATTAACAGTAAGGATTAAATTCACACTGTACTTAACATTTACAGAAATGAAGGAAAAAAATCGTAGGGAAGGATCAGATAGATCACCTTACAAGTACAAACAGAAAATCATGTCATTTGACAATTAAAAGTATTTTATTGATTTCACTGACAGAAAGTAACATTACGTTTATCCATTGCAAGACTTCAAAAATATCAAGAGCAATTATGCCACCAACTAAAAGAAAACAACCATTTTCATTTAAATAACTAGCTGAAAAGCACATTTGTTCTTGTTATACAAATCACAATTCTATATAATTATACTCTAACACAGACCCAGACTTTTTAGTGAGATTCTAGTGATTCTCTATCAATAAACAAGCAACAACTACTCACGACTAATAACTGATCATTGCTAATTGATCACAATATTTTCTAACATGATCATACAACTCCTTAATTTCAGCTGAGATGTACCACAAACATTTTTAGCCATGACATTCACCAGTTAGAAATTATTACGCACTATTAATTTTAATTTGGTTCTGGATTGTTTACTGTACATGCTACGAATGGCTTTTACTTCAGATGATAGACTTTATACCCGAATCTTTAAATTATGACTATTAAATGCAAATGAATTTTTCTGGAAGTAAATTCATTGTCATTGAAAATAGAATTAATCTTGAATTTATGATATTATTCAAAAAGTACAAACACAAAAAAATATATCATTACCTCCATTAAAATTATTGCAAGTCCTTATTGCATTATCTACCATACGGGAAAATGTAAATAAAAATTCAATTATTAAAATTCCATTATACTTTAACAAAACACACTCCAATTATATCCAATTTCATTAACCTAAAGACTTTCCCAAATTAACTGGCTTTAAAAAATTCTCCAATTATTTTAATGTCTTCAACAATTAGTTTTATTTTTAAATGTTTAATAATCAACATTTTCAAACACACAAGAACACTAAGAAACCTGTTACAGTAACATGACTGCATACATTCCTTGAAGTATTTCAGATGCCATAAATAAATAAATAATAATAATAATAATAATAATAATAATACAACTACAATATTAACAATCAGTCATAACTCAACACTTCTAATACGAATAATGAAATTACTCATGTTCTGATTTACAATACAAAAGGAAAACTCAACTCTTGTCAGTTAGATGAGAGGAGATTAAAATACTAATGCATTGAAATACCAAGCCTGAGAAAACCATTTAATACCCTATCCATTTCAGCAATCTTCAATCAAATTTTGTTCACTTGTAATAAAATAAACTTTCCTTCAAATTCCCAAAAATGAAACTAAAATACTGTTCATGCTGATTAACCATTGCATCAACTCCAAAAGATGGTCCGTGTCACCAATTTCCAAGGTAGATAAATAAAATATCACCCTGATAACTCTAATGTACTCACAACTATGATGTTGGGAAATGGTTTTCTATCCATGAGGGTGAAGCAAGGACCCACTACACACGAGTGGGCAGGCACCTGTTGAATTCTTCCTCCCAAGCCTACCTGATGACCCTTGGAGGCAGGTCAGTGGGTCCAAATGCATCAGAGCAGGGGGAAATAATCTAACCTGATTGTAGTCACATCGCTCCACTAGTTTTTGCTTCCGTTTTCTCTTATCTTTAATTTTCCCCCCATTTGATCCCACATCATCTTGATCATTATCTACTACTATAATTTCATCTGAGCCTGATGAAGATTCTTCATGATTCTCCCAAGGTATATGCCCTCTTGGAACTGAACCTGGGTGCCGTTCAAAAACAACATCTGGTTGCTCCTCAGCAAGAGACTGTTGGTCCTTAATAAAATTTGCATCAACCTGGCCAAACTCCACCGACCAATCATCTTGTGGAGGCTGATCTGGGAGTGAGATTAGGACTTGTCTTGAAGTCATTCTGGATGATTCTGCTTGACCCATTGAAATTTGTGGCTGACTGGAACAATCAGTTCCCTGTGGCCTAGAATTACAGGAGGCAAGTGAGGAAAAGGAATTGGGAGGAAGAATGTCTGATGACTGCATTGAGATCCCTTCAGAAACAAGTGGAACTTGTGTAGGCAGTTCATCAGATATGCCACTGACATTGGGTGCTGTTTTAGAAGAGGTGGTAAACTGAGTGTCAATGGGGAATCCTCTAACAAGATTCAATATTTTAGAACGCCATGCAGTCATGTCAGTCGCTGGGTCCACTTGCATTGACACAGATAATCCAGGAGCAGCAGAATCAGTGCTAGTAGTTGTGGATATCGTCTTATTAGGAGCCAAAGGTGACACTGACTGGAATACATTTGCAGTAGGCATGAACATTTCTGGCTGTAGTGAAGATACTGTTGCTTGTTGCTGCTGCTGTTGTACCATTGATGCACTATGAACGGCTCTTGACAGATCATAAAACATGTTAGTAAGTTCTGTAGTCTCTACAAACTCTTCATGTCTCGGTACATGCGTTTGTGATGATTGCTCACGTGTAGTTGGACAGACAGTCAATACACTTATATCTGTTTCACAAGCAGTAGGAGGACCATTATGATCTAACAATTCTGACTGAGCTGAAGGAATGCTTTCAAATGAAATGGTTACATCTACATTTCGCTCTTTAGTATTGTCCAATTTTGACTGAGCAGTATCTTTGGTAGGCATGTTAGTTTGTAATGATGCTTCAGCAGTAGTATAATTCTCACTGGAAGATTTATTGCAAGAGGGCAAGTCAAGGGTTTGGCATACGACAGAAACTGGATTTGTTTTTTCATATTCCACTATAATATCATCGTCATCCTCCGATTGTGAGGACGGCAGAGGTTCATCACCCACAATTATTTCGTCTACAGTTTGTAAAGATGGATTTTGAATGCGGGAAGTAGATGGAACACTTAGTAAGTCAAAATCATCCTCAGTGCCCATGGAAGCACACTCATTTGGGCCTGATTTGGCCTGACACGGTTCCCCTGCCGCAACCACATCTTCACCTGAAGGCTGGGAGGCATGTACCTTCATCACAGGAACACTAATCCCTGAATTTGTTTTAATGATCCGTATATTTGGCGTAGACAGGATCTGCAACAAAGCAGTGCATCCCAACTTCACCAAATGTCTCCTATAGGCATGGTCCTCAATATAATTTTGAAATAACAACGTAAGGTCATCAGTAGTGACCCTTGATGAAAAGAATAAGCAACTTATTTAAGCTAATCTTATCTAGACACTCATGTGCTAACCTTTGGTGAATCCATTCAGATGAGATTCACCGATTATTAAGGCTTCTAAGTACTCTTGAAATCTCTCCGAAACATTTTGACAAATTCTAGTAACAGTTGAATCTTCCAAAATATTTTGAACACATTCTGTATCTCAAGTATGCTTATTATATGCTACCTGAAGAAAACAAGATTCATCATAGGTCAGCATTCAGAAGAGGGCAATACCTGCCTCCTCAAGAATGAGAGCAACCCATCAAAACACTCAATTTTTAAGCCCTCTGCTGGGTACTTCCATTTTTAAATTAAATTAAAAATATGAATTATTGCTGCATGTAGTAAGGCACCAAAGATGGAAGGAATTTCTGCATCTAACAGTTTGGGTAGTAAATGGGAGAACTACAATTGGTAAACAAAGGAAAGAAATACTACCACCTCAGTCTACATTTGAGTAGTTGACCAACAAAGAACTATTAAAAAATCCAATATATAAGAGGTATTTCAGGAACTATAATAGATAACAGTTACACCTACATATGGCTTTTGTGTTAAATCATTTGAGGAAGAAAAAGAGAAAAACACACACCCACACACAAACTGTTGAGAAAATAAAGGAACTGCTCTCTGCTCTAGACTTAGTGTGGAATCTAGCAATTTCTGACAGAAGTCTACGACAATTCTATTGTTTAACAGAAATTTTAATATACTTCTAATAACAATTTATTTATTTCCATTCTAAATTGGGCAAGAACATCAAGTTGACTATGTACCATTTTTAAATAAGAATATACAATTTTTTTTTTATTATGGCAAAATTTCAAGAAAATACACTTTTTAATTTTTCTCTAAATATCAAATAACAGGATCAATGTGAACTAATAAACATATCTGCCTAGAACATCTTGTTTCTCTAAAATGTCTCTCAAAAACTAGACAATGGTTTTCATTACAAACTTCATTTACCTACCACTGGATTGTCAGATTTGAAATTCAGCTCATAACAATTTCAGATAACTTTGAATAAATTTAAACAAAATTTAGGTTTACGCATTTACTTCATTGAGCTGCAAATGGATTAGTGGATCAACTTCAAACTTTACAAGTGTATTAAATGCAAAAATACTAGCTTTACAATAATTGTATTGGAATTGCATATTTCTAAAATAGATTTACAAGAAACTATTTCTCAAACTCAAATAGAATTTCCTTTGCACTTATCAGATTTCATTCAGATTATCTTTCTAATGTGTCCATTGGAAGAAATACGTTTAAAAGCAAAATTAACCATTTCTCCTTAAACACACTTTGACTCGTCAAAAATTTAACATTTTTGTCTTTCCTTAATTAAGAATGTAATGTTTGTTTTAAAGACACTGAACCAAAATTAGATCTACTTATACAGGACCTTATCTGGACATTTGACAAACCCAGAAAACATTTGTGTATTAATTAAAAGAAACAATCCTTGATTTCTGCTAATTGTTTGAAACTGGCGGACAGAAGACTAAGGTGATGCCATAGGTCCACAGATGTCAGAACTTGTAAACAAGAAAATTGCTTCTTTTGAATGATTTTGTGATCCTTTGTATTGTTCTCTTTTTCTCTTGTAGTAGGATTTTGTAGCAACAAGCTTTGCTTGGTGCCTAGGTGCAAAACAGAGTTAACCAATGAAGTAATAATTAGACAACACCAAGTTTGAAGCACACTGTGACAAGTACGTATCATGCAGTGGATGTTGTCATAATTGTAACTGTTTAATTATTATACGAACTTAAAATGGTTTATGTGGAAAACCAAGAAAGCAGAATATGGAATACCAATTACATCAGACATCAATATCTTTATTCAAAGTATACAATAGAAGAGATGTGGGTTTTCACAATCTTTCCCGGAAAGCTTACTTGTGAGAACAGTGTCTAGATGACATTAAGTATAAACTTATCATTAAAATTGGGAGAGGCTCATAGTAATTGTTAGAGCTATTGCACACCATTTCCACCATCATATCTGTTTAAGTAGGTACCTCTTTGATGAAAACAAAGTATAACAAATTTAACGTTTTTAGCTATGTGTATTATCAAAGAACAACCATTATGAAAATCACACCCACTATGAAGAGAAGTAAATGTAAATAACAAAATACAAGGTATTCAAAATGTGTCACATTAGCCTTCCGCATGGCAAAGTACTCAAAATGTCATTCAATCAAGCTTAAAAATTATAATGCAGAGGTGAAAATATTTATTGTTATAATTATTTGTATTTATTTTTAATAAATTATCGTTAATATTTTCTTCGCATTAGAGTCAACTTGAATGTCCATCCACTTGTAACTCCCAATTTAATAAATGACTTCACAGAAAAACTTTCATAATTCACAAAACTTTAATAATATTTAAGCCACAAGTGTTCAAAAAATTATAATAAAGGCACTAACAAACTTAGTTACGTTAGAAACGTTTCATGGAATATTCTTTTCATTGGTATGCGATCATGCCAATGAACTGAATATTTTATTTTTGTTAAACTACAACATACATACTTTCTCACATTTGTAACTTAAGCAAATTGAAAAAATCCAGTGTTCAATGAAAATTCAACCTGCACCAATGGCATACTTCACACTATTCAAGAAAAAAGTAAAAAATTTCATCCGTTTTCAAGAAAACCTGATTTTTAAAACTGCCATTATATTATACAAAATTACGATGTTCAAAATAGCCATATTTTGAGAAAAATGTACACGACTGTGTCTAAAATCTAATTTCAAAGAACATATACCATTAAGAGGGCTGGAGGGAAAAAAAAACACTTTCTTGATTTCCATGTTGCAATTTTAGAGAGCCATCGAAAAATTTTTAAACTTTTGTTAGTCATTTTTAAAAATGCACTTTAGAAGGAGAGAAAATAAAATATAAAAAAATTATCAAGAAGAAGGAGGAGGAGGAGGAGAAGAAGAGAGTAAATGTTTCCAATTCCTGGGGGTTTCACTCAACCAGATTGATTGCAGAACATCAATTTACAGACATACACCCACAAAAAGAAAGATAAGACACATTGTTTTGAAGATGGAGGAGAATAAAATAACACTTCCTTGGTATTAGGGGATTCCAAATCGTGCATTTGCTTTGGTATCGCAAAATCTACTTTCTGCAGCATTACATAACTTTCTCTACACTATGCAGCACATTACTCTGTATACATGAACCTATACAAGGAAGGCAGGCATCGCTTTTGGGAAAAATGACTGTGTCTAGTTGTCTAAATTGAATTTCTGCAGCAATATGTAACTGTCTATACTATTTACATTATTGTACATGTATACCACCTTTATGAGAAGGTTAAAAGAAGAAAGAGATGAGTGTGGCAATTATAGTTTTTGCAGGAAATTGCTATACAACATTATTGATTTTTCTCAATCAGTTTACAAACTTGTGCTCTGATTTTGACATAAAAGGCATTAAAATTAATTTGTTACATCATTACAAATTATTATGGTACGTATACCTTCTCAGACTGATTTCAAGAAATGAAAATGTTGATTCTGGGAGACTTTAATCTCTTTCATACAATTTTTTAATATACTTCATTTACTAATTTCTGCTAGTTTGTTGAAGTCCTATACAAAATTAAATGCTATAAACTGGGACCCGCCAGTGTGAATGGATCTCATCTTTCCCTGATCCTAATTTTTAAAAACGGATCTCTGTTACCATTTCAAAACACCTTCATTTCTCTGATGTTTATTTAGGAATTGATCTAAAATTACTAATTTTTTTACATTCCCATATTTTAGGAAGCATTTAAATGAATTTAACCAGTTGATGTCATTTTCAGGCTTCTCCAAAGCAATGGATATTCTTAATTACAACATAATTATGGAAAACACTACAAATCTTAATTTTCCTTACAACTACCAAAGTTTGAATGAATATTACTAGGAGTCTCTTTTAACTATCACTAGGGTTATATTCACTAAGAAGAGTATCTCACTATATAGGACCTATATTCTTCTGGTAATTGCATTTGGCACTGACTTGGAATACTTTTCTTAAAGACATTAACCTGTATCCCTAAAGACCTCAAAACCATGATTTATGATCAGCGACAAACGACACTTGGATTTCAGACTCTTGCTGCTAGATGACAATGTATTGATGTAATTGAAACATTCAAGATTCAGCATGGGCATTGCAACTGTGAATTTAGCAGCATGTTCCAGAGATCTGGAAACTCACAATTACAAGGTCATAGTATGAAACTCAAGAAACCTAGGCATTATCTAACATTAATCAAAATATGAATTTTCTGGGAATCTGAGTTGACGATACCTGAAATGCACTACCCCCCAAACAGTGGCTGCACCTAATCTTCAAGTTTTCAAAAGGCTTACGATTGTCTCTTCAGCGAAGCAAGCCGTGGACCCCAGTGATCGACGTACTCTTAATCATACTCTTCCTTCGGTTCATCCATGTTATTGCTAGTGATATTGAAATATGATAAATATAATGCAAAAGATTGTGATATGTTAAATATAAAATGCTAATTATAATAATTATACAAGCGCTGATTTGGGCTACATCAGATGTAAAACTGTTGCCTGTAAATTACTTAAATAAATATTTTTAATACTAAAAAATATGCTCACAACTTAAGTTTCCTTATATAGTATATGAGTAACTTGCATGTGTCTGTCCATCAAGAGCCCTTCCCATTGATACAAATGAGGTGTCATACGACAAGTCCAGTCTCCTGGTGGTTTACTGATGATTTGTTTGAAAATCCATCCCAGAGATATTTCGAAAAACATTATTTTAAGTCATTTTGTGTTATTAGCACTGTGATCTAGTGGTGGTTGCT